TAGTTTTAGGGATGACGGAATTTATACAGAACAACTTGCATCATTGTAAAGATGCAAGTACATTGTTGTGTACCTGCCTTAGTAGGCTGCATACAGGCATAGCCTTGATCCAGGAACCTTGGATAGTTAAACCCTAACCTGTCCCGTCCCACCCCCATCCCACTCTAAGGTTTTTTAAGTGTTGGCCACCCTGCAGCTCAGACCAATCCTTTCAACCTGTTGTGTGCACAAATTGTTTTTATAATAGTTTAAAAAAACTCTGTTCTCACAAGGATACACTGCACGTGCAGCACATCACCTGCAAACAGCTGGATCAGCATCAGATCCATGTTAAATAAAGGGATAACCCAGCTATTTTTAAAGCAGGGCTGCAGGTCAGATTTTATAACAAAGACCACATGATGTTGGTGTTTGGAGGAAGTTGTTTTTTAACAGGGGCAGATATACGATTTATTTCTTATTTTTTGCACCTTTATTATTCAATAATTGATTTACTTTGATGTTTTTAATAGACTTTGTTGGTTTTAAGAAAAAAAATAATAGTTACTCAGTTACTTCTACCGGTCTCCTTCTGAAGCCTCACACAGCAACCCCAGCTGCAAATGAATCCTCTCTTCTATTCCCATGCAATTCAGGGATTAAAATGACAGTAAATTATTTTTAAAACAGCATGCCTTGTGTGAGGGGGTCCCTGGAATTTTTCACTCTTGTAAGGGGTTCCCCAGACCCAAAATGTTTGAGAACTCCTTCCACTTGACCTATAGACTACTCACCAAGTGTTTCCTTGTGTAAAAGTCTGTTTAACAGCCTGTTAAAATACACCAGAATGCAGGAAATGGCATCTAATTCATTCAAAATGTCTGGGGGAGGACCCCTAGACCCCCTGACAGAATGATTTTACACAATGTTTTCTCCATTAAATACCATACAGCCCTGATCACAATTGTTGGCAAAAGTCCAAAAACGCAAATTGGACAATGGCCTTATTTAGCAACTTTTAGGACAGCCAAAAGCAACTTTTCTCACTGAGGAGTTGGCAGCAGTGTTCAGCGGCTCAAAATCTCACTCCAAGCTCAGGTCAAAACTTGAGAGCCCTGACCCAGAACAATGTCATTTTTTTAAATAATGTCAAACACCCATTTTAGTTCTCTCCCCAGGCTAATTTGTCAGTCTGCTGCTAGTCTCAAATAGTCAAAAGATCTTTTCTTGTGCCTCAGAAAACTTTGCTACTTCTGTAACAAACACTGGTAAGATCACTGGATCCCTGTTTCCTCAGTCGGTAGTAATTTGTAGTATCTCATCAGTGTATATGGGAAATCCCATGTTCTTTCTCCACAGATCTGACGTGCTTGTATTAGTGTTACAACCCACCCCACACCTGTCAGCCATTGTTTAGCTAGCTGTATTAGCATTGTGCTTTGAAATTAGCTGAGGAAAAATGTATCACATTTTGCTTGAGAAGATACCTTTTTAACTTACATCAGTTTTATGATTCTAGCTGTAACTGTGTTGGAACCAAAAAAAATATACATTTGGTCCAAAAAATTACTTTACCTCAAAATATATATATTTTCTTGTTAAAATTTGAACACACCAACTTTCAACCCTGATATCCACATGTGAGGAAGTGAGTGCCTTAATTTTGAAATTATCACATGACTTCTAGCTGCTCTCTAAATAGTCGAACTGGTGGCGTTACAACTCACCCTGTGTTACAATCATCCTCTCTCCTATTAGCTATACATTTTAAGTCAGCTATCTGTCTACAGGCACTAGTTTCCTTTTTTCCAGTCTTGGTCTTGACTTGGTCTCAAATTAGGTGGTCTTGACTACAACACTACCAAGTGGAGAGAAACTATATGCTGCCCTTTGGTACCTAGTCACGGGGTGACAAGTTTGAGGCTGGAAATTCACTAAAAATGTTGCGTTTGTTTTGGGATTGCAGCGTTGTCATTGAAAGGCTGCCTTACTCAAAAACCATCAATAAATTGTATTGCATTAGTAACTGTACACGTTTGGTCCATTGAGTTCAATGAAAGATCTTAGAGAAATTGTTAGAATACTGAATAGATGTGACACAACAGTTTCTCAATGATCAGGTACAAGAAGCCATATAACACCAAATGATGAACAACTGAACTAAATGTAAAACATACTTAAGCTTCTTTAGTTATGTTGCTAAAACCAAAATAGTTTCCACATCTGTATCATCTGTTTTCATTGAATGGATCTAACAAAGTTGATTTACAGATCACAAATTTATTTCAATCACTGGCCTTCCCTGGTGTCTTTACCCCACTTCATTTCCTTTTTATTTTTCAAAAAGAAAGAAACATCAAAAACAATAAAACACAAACAGTAGCATTTAATGCTTTTATACCTGGACATTATGGCTGGTCCATTATGTACACTTAAATTTTTTCATTCACAGTAAATAAGGGGATCCAAATGGACAGGTGGCCTCGGTGCCAGTGCAATTTCCTTTTACCTCTGCGCTGCAGGCACTTACATCTTACCACTCTGTATGCCTGTAAACAACACAAATCTGATAGGTGTAATAATAAAGAAAGGGGATGTGAGGGACCAATCAGTAAGGAGTCTTTGTTCTGAGTTCAAAATAGAGCACTTAAAGCCCAACTGTTGCCTGGATACACAGATTGCAGGCAATTACAGAGTGGGATTACTGTGGGGAGAAAATAGGTGATACTGTCAATGGAGCACAAATGAATGTGTGGGTGAGCGGGTGAGTGACAGCGAATGTGACTACACATGCTGTTCTGTACGGCAGGCTGAGCAAAAGTGCAGCTATGTGAAGCTGGAGAGACACATCGGTAATGTCTTTTTTTATTTTAACCCTCCTCTGGATGTCAGTCTGTGCGTATCGGAGTTCAACTGACAATTGTTTTATACAGTATTGCTACTGTATAGACAGGTGATGTGGTAAATAGTAAAATGAATAAAGACAAATAGGAGGAATGCAGAAGTAGGAAAAACAGTCACATGCAGGTAAAAACAAAAATATACCTCATTCATGTTTTTAAATTTTAAGGTACTTTTTTGGCTAATTTTTACATCTAATTAGAAATACCTCAAACAGCAACACATTACATTGCATCATTGTTTATTCAGACAAAAATACACAAACAATGTGTTCATTTTTCTACAATGAGGATAATGTGGCGCGAGTAGAAAACATTCAACACATTTATCAGGCTTCCTACAAGTGGTCTTTTTCATCACTTTACGGAAAGACTGTGCAATACTCTAAAACAATCTTAGACTATACAGGCCTTAGTAAGAACATTGTTAAATTTATGACAATATAACTCTTCTAAATAAAATCATTCTTTCTTAGAAAAAAACACAAACACAATTGAACAAGATATTTGCAACAATGTTTTCCCTAAAATCTGTATTTTTATTTTTACCATAAGGCAGAACTACACGTTTAGCTGAATATTACACTCTGCAGATAAATACAAATTTCTAATCCCAATGTTTAGGCACGATGGTGTGAGTTTCATGACTCACACTTAATTAAATTGGGAAAGAGTTAAATGCTACTTTTACGAGTCTGAAATTGGGCTGTGCAACAAAAAGATGACACCAGAATAACTGACGAGAAAAAGAATCAGTTAGGACCTCAGCCTGAGTAAAATGTTCTGGGATGTTGAAGCTAAAGCAACGTTTTATACAGTGCAAAAAATATCCATCTAAAACTAGTCTGAATCTTCTCAAATTAAGTGAAATAATCGTCCAGTGCAGTAAGCTAGTAGCACTTGGTAAGATGTCTCGAAATAAGAAAATAATATAATGTAATATAATAAGATTGTAAATAATGAGATGGATTTTTTTGCAGTGTAGACAAAATATTAGCTTGATCTCTTAGTGAGGAGGAACATTTTCAGCTACTACCACACATTTTAACTCAGTTTCATTAGAACTGACTGAGCTGTAGCCAATTTTTGTAACTTTGTTTTTCACTCAATTTCTATTCATGACTTCAGGAGTTATTTTTCTAACAGACAGACAAACCAATTCACATACAAACACAGGGATTTTCATGAATCAGCCTGCTTTTTATGGCAGTGAAAATAAAACAAACTGGCATAGTTTTTGTTAAATAAATAGTGACACAAATCGTTATTGTTCCTTTATATCCTGATGCATAAAACCTTCCACATTATGGAAAGGTCACCAATATTTGTGTGAATTCAGTTTGATCATTCATTACAGTTCCACCCAATGAGCTACACTCCTGATCAAAATTTTAAGACCAGTTGAAAAATGTCAAGAACTCACGTTTTGCACGGTTGAATCACAAGAAGTTTCTAAGTTTGTCTCACTCCCATTTCTTTCTGCATACCAAAACTCCACTTGGAACCTTCTTAAAATGCAACAGTGCAAAATGTGAATTCATTTTTCAACTGGTCTTAAAATTTTGTTTTGGAATGGATTGATCTGTGTCCCTTTCAAAAACAGCACATGTGCACTAAACAAAGAGCCTATAGGCGACTACTATGTCTCTATGATGTCAGGCATAAAGGAACAAAAGCATCAAGGTCACTGTGTGATTTGTTCAGCCTTCTTCACGCTATTTAATTTGCATCTATTGAAAAGAATCCAGATCTTCTGTTTAAACATTGATTCTTCAGCTCACTTTACCTTTACGACCCAAGGTTTTGTTAAACAAAAAGCCTTCACATTTTTTTTCACAAAAGAAAGAAATCATAATACTGTAGCGATGTTTAGCTTCTAGCCTATATTAGTGATTCTCCTCTTATGTGTATTAATATTTCAGAAATCCTTTTTGTGTCTTTAAAGTGTGGATGCAACACAGATGCTGCATTGAGCCTTAAAACACGTCCCGTCAGGTCGTAATGGGTCACAGTAGTTTTATAAAACAGATCACAGACAATGGAGAGACCATATACTGTAAACAAGATCACAAGCTCGTGCAACCTGTAAGACAGCTGTGTCTGTTTTTTTAAGATGGCTGCACATTTTTCACTTTTGACAGAGTAAAGGGAATCTTCCTGTCCTCTGTATCTGGAGGATTAGTAATCACATCCCCAGCATCCCTAAATCCTCTCAACTTTGACCCTGCCTCTTCTCTCTGTTCCCCTTCTCTCGACCTTTGGAACAGCCTTTCTTTCAAGTTGGTCCTGGGGAGGATCCAGACAGCGACCCCCATCACCACCAGCGCAGAGCCCAGGCAGGACAAGCAGATCCCGGCCGCAAAGCTGAGGTACAGCCCCCTGTTAAAGCTGATGGCCTGGCTGTCCACAAAGAACAGGTCTCCTTCTCCGAAAGACTCGATTTTGTGGGGGGTGGAGAACTTGACTGAGAGGGACACGATGCCTGCAGTCAGAACCAGAAAACCCAGTGCCAAGGACACCTGCAGTCAGGGAGAAAGACCAAAAAAAAAAAGCAAACATTTTTGCAGACTTGGTTGTTTGTATTTAGGTACTTCCTGCATGGAGCTCTATGTCTTATTAAGAAAGGTCACTTTGTTGTTTGGATTGCAGAAAGCAAAACGTAGCAGAAGCATGCAGGGGCCCTGGACGGAATCCCCTCGGCTTTGCAAATACCACCGGCACTGCCCCACTGGCTGCAGTTCATCATATAGAGACAGTTTAAAATGCATAGTGCAGCGTGCACAATTTGTTATGTACGCTGAGGTCCATCGCTGTCAGGTGCAACCAACCAGCTGAGACCGGCACAGGTCACAGGTATAACACATCTTTGTCTGCAGACAAAAATGAACTGTATACTGTCATTTTACTGTATTACAATAAAATTACTAAAACTTTTACTAATTTAAGTCTTAGATCTTTGCTGAGCAGTCAAAAAACACCATCCAACACCTGACTGAATCAAGGAGGCTTTGCTTGCTGTGTAATTGGTTGTATTACAGCAAGTTCTGGTTTTAATTTCAGTTAAATATTTATAAAGGTCAAAACTCCTAAAAGGTTCAAACCAGTTAGTTGGAAAAATCAACTTTAAAAAGTAAATAAACACCCTTGAGGCGCCAATTGCTGGTGGTAAATATATTTATCCAACTATCAAACTCTAAATGTGTGGTGTTTTGATATTTTCAATTCAAAATGATCCCATCTAAAATAAAACAAAACAAAACAAAAAAACAATGTTGGCTACCCTCACTCTTAGACCAATAAAATAAGATTGAGTCAGAGGTTCATATGTTCAGCTTGTCGACCATGATGATGATGATGACTTGAGGAAAGTAGTAAAATATTAAGCAAAGGGGGAATTATGTATTTTCCAGGCACATAAGTTCAATACCACAATCAAGTAACTATATTAATTTCAGTTGTTATGAAAATGCTATATATATACTGTGTATATATAACACTTTACAAGATTTTCTCTTAAGGTTGGGGGGATAATGTATTTTCCAGGCACATAAGTTCAGTTTTCAAGTAACCATGTTACTTTCAGTTGTTATGAAAATGTTCAATACCAAAATAAGTTTGACTCTGCATCATAGTCTTTTTAAATGCTTCAAAACTGGCTTCTCTCTTTAGGGACTACAGTTTCTGACATTCCCACTTCAGCGTCTTCACAACACTTCATGTTGCAGTCTTTCGTAGGAGCATTGTATATTTTTTGTAACAAAAAGCAGCAACATTATCTAATATTGGTTTTGAAAAATGGCACCTCAAGATAGTTGAACCATTTTGGACAACTTATGCACATTTTGGCCTTCATGTTGGAGTAAGGTAGTTGTAAGTTATGAATAAGTTGCCAGCACGATGACTGGCTGGAAAGACACGTCGAATGTGCTCAAATTTTTTTTAGCTGATGCCAACGTGCTGCTGATAACTGAGGCACACACGTTACAGGCATGCTACCGATAATCTATGCATCAGTTCACATATGTTTCAGGCAGTGGAGGATGCTGGTCTTTCAAGAAGAGGAAGCTCAATTTTGGCCTACATAATAAAACGTGTCGGTTTATAAATTATACCCTCCATTCCTTTTCAAGAAAATGATCTGTGACCCTGTCACATATAATTTTTTTATAAAGTATTTATCCATTTCATTTTAAAAAACAAAACATTACATAAAATAAAATAATACAAATAAAATGAAATGAAAGGTAGCAGAA